ATGAAAATCTATATGCATCAAACTGGGCAATCTGGAAGAAATGGACAAATTCCTACAAACTGACAAACTACCAAAACTGAAATAGGAAGAAATAGAAAAATGAAACTAATCCATAACCAACAAATAAATAGAATCAGCAATCCAAAATTTCCCAAAAAACTAAAGTCCAGGGACAGATGGCTTACCACAGGAATTCTACTAAACATTTAAAGAAGAATTAAAGCTATTCTCCTTAAACTTGCAAAAAATATAAATGGAAGAAATAGGCCCAAATTCATTTTATGAAGCCAGCATTACCTTGATTCCAAAAGCAGATAAAGACCCCACGAAAAAAGAGAATTACAGGACAATATCTTTGGTAAACTTGGATAAAAAAATATTTTAATTAATTAATTAATTTTTTTTTTCAATTTTACTTTTTCAGTGTTCCAAGATTCATTGTTTATGTACCACACCCAGTGCTCCATGTAATACATACCCTCCTTAATACCCACCACCAAGCTCACCAATCCCTCTACCCCTCCCTTCCAAAAACCTCAGTTTGTTTCTCAGAGTCCACAGTCTCTCATGCTTCATCTCCTCCTTCCATTTCCAATTCCCTTTTCCTTTCCTTCTCCTAAAGTCCTCCATGTTATTCTGTATGCTCCACAAGTAAGTGAAGCCATATGATAATTGACTTTCTCTGCTTAACTTACTTCACTCAGCATAATCTCCTCCAGTCCCATTCATGTTGATACAAAAGTTGGGTACTCATCCTTCTGATGGCTGAGTTATATTCCATTGTATATATGGACCATATCTTCTTTATCCATTCGTCTATTGAAGGGCATCTTGGCTCTTTCCACAGTTTGGCAATTGTGGCCATTACTGCTATGAACATTGGGGTACATATGGCCCTTCTTTCCACTACATCTGGAATACAAAAATTCTTAATAAAATACTATCAAATTGAATTCAACAGTACATTAAAAAATATTCTCCACAACCAAGTGGGATTTTTTTCCTGGGCTGCAGGAATGGTTCATATTAAAAAATCAATCAATGTGTACATCACATTGATAAAAGAAAAAAATTAAAAACATATAATCTTATTAACAGATGCAGGAAAAGCATTTGGCAATATATAGCCTCCTTTCTTACTTTATTTCTTTATCTTTTTTAGATAGAAAGGTGAAGGGAGAGAGAGAATCTTTAAAAACCCTTTTTTTTCAAAAATTTTATTTATTTATTTGACAGAGAGAGTGAGATCACAAGTAGGCAGGCAGTGAGAGAGGGGGAAGCGGGCTCCCCACTTAGCAGAGAGCCTGATGCAGGGCTTAATTCCAGGACCCTGAGATCATGACCTGAGCTGAAGGCAGAGACTTAACCTACTGAGCCACCCAGGCACCCCAGGAGAGAGAGAATCTTAAGCAGGCTCCATGGCCAATGTGAAACCTGATGTGGGACTCTATCTTTTTACCCTGAGATCATGACCTAAGCCAAAATCAAGAGTCAGATTCTTAATTGACTGAGCCACCAAGGCACCCCCAGCATCTTTTCTTGATAAAAACCCTCACCAGACTGGGGTAGATGGAGCATACCTTAACATCATAAAGGCATTATGAAAGACCCACAACTATTATCATCCTCAATGGAGAAAAAAATGAGAGCATTTATGCTATGGTCATGAACATGAAAGGGAAATTCAGTTTCACCATTATTGTTTAAAAGAAGTCTTAGCCTCAGAAATCAGACAACAAAAAGAAATAAAAGTCATCCAAATTGGCAAGGAAGAAGTCAAACTTTCACTCTGCAGATGACATAATTATCTATGTAGAAAATCTGAAAGACTTCACCAAAAAATTGCTAGAAATAATACATAAATCTAGCAAAGTTGTAGGTTATAAAAATCAATGTACAGAAATCTGTTACTCCAATCAATACGCCAATAGTAAAGCAGCAAAAAAATATATCAAGAAATTGGATTCATTTGCAATTACACCAAAAACCATAAGATACCTAAAAATAAACCTAACCAAAGAGATAAAAGATCTGCACTCAGAGAACTATAGAACACTTCTGAAAGAAACTGAAAAGGACACAAAGAAATGGAAAAGCATTCCATGGTCATGGATTGGAAGAACAAACATTATTAAAATGTCTGTACTATCCAAACTAATCTACATATTCAATGCAATACCTATCAAAATAGCACCAGCATTTTCCATAGGGCTAGAACAATCTTAAAATTTGTATGGAACCACAAAATAACCTGAATAGCCAAAGCAATTCTGAAAAAGAAAAAAATAGGAGGCATCACAATTCCAGATTTCAAACTATAAAACAAAGCTGAAGTTATCAAAACAGTATGGCAGTGGCATAGATGAATGGAATTTAATAGAGGACCCAGAAGTGGACCCACAAATATCTGGTCAACTAATTTTTGACAAAACAGCAATGAATATCCAATGGAAAAACAAGAGAGTCTATTCAACAAATAGTGTTGGGAAACTTGGACAGCAACGTGCAAAAGAATAAAATTGGGCCTCTTTCTTACACCATAAACAAAATTAATTCAAAATGGATTAAAGACCTAATTGTGAGACAGGAAACCATCAGAATACTAGTGGGAAACATAGGTTATAACCTCTTCCACATCGGCCAAAGCAACTTCTTACTAGATTTTTCTCCCAAGGCAAGGGGAACAAAAGCAAAAATGAACAACTGGGATTTCACCAAGATAAAAGGTTCTGCATAGTGAAGGAAACAATAAGTGAAACTAAAAGGCAGCCTACATAATGGAGCAAGATATTTGCAAATGATGTATCTGATAAAGGGTTAGTATCCAAAATCTGTAAAGAACTTCTCAAATTCAACACCTGAAAAAAAATCATTCAGTTGAAAAATGGACAGAATACATGAATAGACACTTCTCCAAGACATCTAAATGGTATAGAGACACATGTCAAGATTCTCAGCATCAGTCATCATTAAGGAAATACAAATCAAACCATGATGAAATACCACCTACCACCTGTCAGAATGGCTATAATGAACAACACAAGAAACAACAAGTTTCGGTGAGGATGTGATGAAAATGGAACTCTCTTGTACTGTTGGTGGAAATGTAAACTGGTGCAGCCACTCTGGAAAATAGTGTGGAGGAGCCTCAAAAATTATAGAACTACCCTATGATCCAGCAATTGCACTACAATGTATTTATCCAAAGTATATGAAAATACTAATATGAAAATACTAAAAGGGGTACATATTCAGCCTGATGTTTATAGCAGTGTTATTAACAATAGTCAAATTATAGAAAGATCCCAAATGTCCATTGACTGATGAATGGATAAAGAAGATGTGGTACATACAGTGGAATATTATTCAGCCATAAATAATAATGATATCTTGCCATTTACAAAGACAGGGATGGAGCTAGAGTATAATGCTAAGTGAAATACATCAGTCAAAAAAGACAAATACCATATGATCTCACTATACATGGAATTTAAGTAAGAAGATAGATGAACACATGGTTAAAGGGGGAAAAAAAAGAGAGGGAAAAAGCCATAAGTGACTTTTAATAACAGACAGAAAACAGAGTTGATGGAAGGAGGTGGGTGGGGAATAGGCTAGATGGGTGATGGCTATTAAAGAAGGCACTTTTTGTAATGAGCTTTAGGCATTGTGCATAACTGATGAATCACTGAATTCTACTCCAGAAACCAGTGTTGCACTCGATATTAACTAATCAAAATTTAAATAAAAAATGAAATAGTAAAAGAAAGGAGAGAAAGAAAGAAAGAAAGAAAGAAAAAGAAAGAAAGAAAGAAAGAATCCAGAAATGATGGTTTTTCAAGTCCCTCAGATCCTTACAAAGTTCAGTAAATGTTGAAAAGCACTGATTTAGCAGCAGTGGGCAAATATCAGAATAATAAAACTAGAAGCAGGGATAGTACAGGTAGTACCTGCAATAGTACAGGCAAGACTGATGAGGCTATGAACAAACGTAAATAGCTGGAGAGCTAGAGAATTGTGGGGTAACTGGGGTGTTAAGACTCATGTAGGGTTTGGTAATAGATTGCATATGAGAGTGAGGGAGTGGGTGATATGGATGATTCTCAGGTTTCTGTCTTGGAGTTTGAGTGGATGGAGGTGCAATGCAACAAGATAGAAACCACAGATAGAGAAACAAATTTGGAAGAAGACTACAATTTTAGGTCAAAGGTAGAGGTAAAGAGAGGAGTGACCTAAAGTTGTTATTCTTTAATATCAGTTCCCAGACTTTAGTGTACAAAACAAAAAAATTACCTGAGGAGTCTGTTAAAATACAAATTCCTATTCTCTCCCCAATTTCCATTTAGGAAGAATCGGAATGGGGCCCAATGATCTGCCTTTTTTTTTTTTTTCTTCTTTTTAAAAATAGCTCCAGTACAGGCTCCTGGGTGGCTCATTCAGTTAAGCTTCTGACAATTGATTTCAGCTCTGGTCATGATCTCAGAGTTGTGAGATTGAGTCCCATGTCAGGTTCCACACTCAGCATGGAGTATGCTTAAGATTCTCTCTCCCTCTGCCTCTGCCCATTGGTGCTCCCCCTTTCTTTCTCTAAAAATAAATAAATAAAAGCTATAAACAGCCCCAATACAGTATGTAAACTTCTTAAAAATGTACTGAGAAACATTTAAAAATAAAGCTGAAAGTTATTTGAAAATTGCACTGTAAGTCTATTTCATGCCTATAAATTGACAGCTACTAAGTGACTTAAAAGAAAAGTTTGATCTTGATAGAAATTTAATAATTTTTTACACAGCTTTGTAAAATGTTCACTCTGTAAAAGGGAAATGATTTTAATGCAAAATTGAAATTGTAAGAGCCCCTGTGTTAATGATTGCAAGTTAATCTAGATATCAATTAACTTTAATGAAATACTTCAATTTTTACAATTAAAAATAACCAATGTATATGGAAGTATATGCAGATCCATCTCAGTAAACACCTTTTGTATCATCACTGCACATTCATTCCATCTTGAGGAATTTCAGAATCTCTTTGTTCTCCTTTGCCTTGTGAAACATTTCAAGATCCTAAAAGGAATTAAGATTAACTTGTAATATCAGTGCTATTATTTCCACTTATGAAATCATTAAACTCAGGTGTCTGGGTAAGTTTGTTAATTATCTTGTCTGGGCCTTTGCAAACATCTGCCAACTAAGTTAGATAAAGAAAATTCCCCTTGATATCAGTCATTTCATACTATAATGTATGATGAACAATACTGTGTATCTCAAAACACATAGCATGATATTCTTTCCTTTTATATTTTTTTTCATAATGAAGCACACATTGCCTTATCTTCAGGAACATAATTAAGTTATTGTATAAATGAAGAAACCTGGCCCTCACAACCCATAAATGTATTGTTTCCCCATGTATATGACCTTAAGACATGAAATGAAAACAAAATAAAAATGGACATTTACTCTTATTCCACAAGTGGAAACTTTCATCCTCATTTCTTGAAGTACTTTCAAACTGACAGAAATATCTATTAATTCATACTTTATTTGGTAAATATCTAAAATTCCGGTAACTTCTTCCTGTCTCTGCTTCACCTACATAGGCAAAAATAGGGAGAGATAGAATGATGTTAATTAACTGCTCCAAATGGTTTATGTTTTATTTTGCCCATTCATTATGCTATGGAAGAGGAATAGCTTTTAATGCTGTGATGTTTCTTTGAGGAGCAAAAATTAGGTAATTTTCTTTTGATAAACACATACACACATATTTAGTATATATGTAATATGTAAATATGTTTAATGTGTATATGAAGAAATATAGTAAGTTTTCAGTAGGAACTAAAAATCTCTAATGGGCTATAAATATTTGCTATATTGATTTCATACTGTACACGAAGTGGTATGACATTCTGCTAACAGTTGAAGCACACTTTTCAACTCATTACTACATTAATTTATCCTAATACCTATGGTAGCTCTGTGTAGGAAATGGACATGATACCAGGTTTATACCTTTGAAGGAACATACTACATGTTCTAACCATAATCAGAGACAATGCCTAAGTACAGAGATAAAATCCACAGACTAAGAAAATAAAATATATCAGACAATTAAGATTTATAAATAATGTAAGTGAATGAAAGTCATCAGTTCTTCCTATATCCTCTCAGATGAACTGTAATATTTGTAGTAATATCCTCACATTGTCTTTTCCTCTGAAACACTACTGCTAAAGTAAAATTGTAATAATTGGTTATCTTTTAAGCATATTTTATAACTGCAATTTTTTGTTAATAACTAACATAAATCTTAAAATTTGAGTTTTCTACATTTTTCACATGATAATCTTAGGCAATTTTGTCACACAAAATCTCTGATACTAGAATGAGAAAACATATCTGAAAGCAATTTGACAAGTACAAACCCCAGCTTATTCAAGTATGATTTCTGCAAAAGGGCATGGCAGAAAGCTTTTTGTTTGATGACTTGAAAATATAATCCAGTCATGGTTAGAAAACCCTGTCTATTTGCAACTGATCGATGAGAGGTTTCTGAAATTCTATTATGCAACATTTCTACTTTCTGAGGCTCATTAGTTTTTAAAATGCAAAAGCATGGTGCATGGATTTGTCACATTTTTATAGTGTTTTTCCAAAAAATTTTCAGAGGAACATCATTAAGAGTACAGTTACGTAGACCAGTAGTAGTCTGAATGTGGTTCGTTAGACCAGCAACATCAGCTTTATCCCACTCTGAAACTACAGTATCTGGGAATGATTCCCAGGAATATTTTAACAAGCCCTCCAGATTATTTTTATGTTACAGTTTGAGAAACACAGACCGACAATTGGGTGAATCTTCTGTTTCATCCATTGTGGTCCTTATTGATTCCAAACTATTCTCTCTTACAGACTTTTAGTACTGTATCTGATAACATAAATCACAATGTTAAAAAATAGTCAAAAGACTCAAAATTTTCTTTTTAAAAGTGCTTCTTATTATTGTTGTTTCTTAGTATCTGGGTGAAATCCCTAATCAAGTTGATAAAGCTTTCTGCAAAAGCAATGTACTCTTTCTAGGCTGAGATCAAATTTCACTGCTCCTTGCACCTATCATGGTGTCTTGACACACAGGAGTGGGATGAATGTTAACCATTCATAATCAATTTCAAATTCTTCAGTTTTTGTGCTTCTCAAAAACCTTGGCAGAATGATGTTCTTAGCCATATAATGGTCGTTCTATAGTTAAGCTGCCTAATGTGATAACCATTAGCCAGCCACATGTGAGTATTGAGCACCTGAAGTGTGGCTAGTCCAAAATAAAATTCTCTGTAAGTACAATATACATACTGGATTTTGAGGACTTAATATGAAAATAATAATGCAACATCTCTTTTTATATATGTTGCATGATAACATTTTGTATATTTTGTGTTAAATAAAATATATTAAAATTAATCTCATCTATTTTTAAGTCACTACTAGAAAATTTAGGATTACATATGTGGCTCACAATGTTGGAAACCACTGTTGTACAATATTTCCTACGTGGCCAAAATAATTCATCTGTAGTCTAAGACATGCCCGATCTATGCAAATATATGTTCTTCTTAGAAATTACCAGTTTGTTTTTCTGGGGTTATCCAGGCTTCCTTGAGGATTTTGGCCATTTACTCAATGACATTTCTCTCTCCTATCCTAAACAGTGTCCTTTATCTCTTCCATCTCCCATCCTAAACATCTTAAAGAACAGGGTTCTTTATCTCTTCCATTTAAAACAACTGCAGGTGTATTGGAAATACTTACATTAGCTGAGCTCAGGACCCAGAAACCTCCCAGACCGGTTAGTTCTTGGAGCACAATCTGGGTGAGGACAATAAGCACCTTCCTTGTTCTCCCCTGCACCTTCCATCCTTGAAAACCTAGAGAGGAGGGAGCTGAAGTGTGAAAGGCAAGGAGGGGATGGTATTGTATTAGCACAATCCTGAAATCCCCAACTAGAGTGTCTTCACTCTAGTCTTGTTTTTTTGCCCTCTGAGGCCCTTTTCTTTCCACTCACCTCCCTGGATCCAGACACGCTGGTATAATAGACTTTAATGGAGCTCATTATTTCCACTACAAGATTACTTTGGAGAAGTAACTCAGAGTCTGTCACTTCACTACTGCTTCAGGCAGAGCTATGCAAAGGCCCAAAGCCTGGCCCTGCCCTTTTTCAAGGCTGTTGCTAAGGGCCATTGGCCTGAATACTTGGGATTGGCTGTGAAACTAGTGCTCTTGTGGCGCAGGAACATTGCTGCCTGGTGACTGCTGTCCTGCGGGGAGGGGAAGAACTCTGGGGTGTTAAACTCTTATTAAGGTATCTTTTCTCTCCTCATCTGCTAGGCGCTAGGGAGGACTAGATGGAGAACTAATGGACTCCATGTTCTTACTGCTTCTCCCATCTCCCTGCATGGGAATGGTGGTAAGCATTTGGTTTTATGTCTGGTAACAGCAGCTGCAAACCTGAGGAACAAAATGACCAAAATACATCGTGATGAGTAAAGAAACAGAAAAAGTAAAACTTGTATTGCCTAAGTTTGTAAGGACAGAGTAAATGGTACCAGTGCTTACTTGGACAGGAAGGGACCACCAAAGCAACTTTTTTTTTTTAAAGATTTTATTTATTTTATTTGACAGATAGAGATCACAAGTAGGCAGAGAGGCAGGCAGAGAGAGAGGCAGGAGGAAGCAGGCTCCCTGCTGAGCAGAGAGCCCGATGCAGGGCTCGATCCCAGAACCCTGGGATCATGACCAAGCCGAAGGCAGAGGCTTTAACCCACTGAGCCACCCAGGCGCCCCTAAAGCAACTTTTGATGCATTTTTTCTTAGTCCAGGGAAGTGCCTCCTTTCCCTCTCCTGTGCCCCTCCGTTTTCGAGGACAGAGTGCCTTCCTTCTGGGAGTTGACATTTTGGTTTATGTAATAGTGGGTGCAATAGTGGCTGACTGTCTTAGCACTTCCTCCCTCTATCCCATGTAAAAAGATGACCTTATGCTTTAATGTCCATTTCCTCTTCAATACATTCATAGCTCATTATTCTAGCCTTTATTTTCAAGTAGTTAAAGATAACAATAATATTTACAGGATTTTTTGGATTTGCCAAAAATGAGCAGTGGAAATTGACAGTGAAGGACTAAAAATCCTCAGCACCTGCTTTTGTGTGAGGCAAATTTGGATTCCATGGCTCCACAACTGAATAATTTTGGATCTTTGGCAAATTGCTTCTTTCTGAATGTCATTTTCTCAATCATTAGAGTGTGTATGGTGATTCCTACCTGACAGTATCATGGTGAGGAATAAATGAGTTGAATATGTAACAGTATTTGGCACATGAACTGATATGTCAGTGGTTCAGAAAATGATAATTATTATTGATGATAAGTGTCAGACTGCTTGCATGATGTTTGGGAACAAGCACATCAGTATGAATAAGACGAAACATTTACCTTCAGGTTACTTAGAGTGATAATTGATAAGGTGAGGTAAATGCAATGTAGAGAAATCTAAACCAGTCTAGATGGGTCAAGGCAGGTATCCCTGAAGCAGTGAAAGCTAATCAGAAAACTGAAAGATGTATAGTATGCCAGGAAATTATATGAAGAAATTTTAGATAGAAGGAACAGTCATGAAGAAATGTAGTAATTGGGGCTTTGGGAGCAAGTTGGAGAAATAGAAACTGAAGAAATAAACAGGAAAAAAATACCACATGGACCTTCAGGTCTCATGTTAAAATTTTACCCTAAATCTTTTCAAGGCTGTTTTTTGTTTTATAAAAATGTAAAATTACATCTTCACCTTCTCTCTGCAACCCTCCTCCCAGAGGAAACTGCTATTAACAGTTTGATCTGTATCATTTTTTCACAAACATAATGACATTTATTAAGTTAGTAATAAGAGAAAAAAGTCACTTATAATAGGAAGTTAAGTAAAAAGACTGCTTTTTTTAAAAAAAATATGGAATACTTCATGAATTTGCATGTCATCCTTGCACAGGGGCCATGGTAATCTTCTCTGTATTGTTCCAATTTTAGTGTATATGCTGCTGAAGTAGGCACAAGTAAACACCCTTTGAAGCGAGACTGCCTGGGTTCAAACCCAGATTATACTACTTACAACTGTGTAATATAAGCCATCCTACCTAACTTCTCTGAGCCTGTTTTATCATAGGTGAAATGGAAATTACAATATTTTACAGAAATGCTATTATGGTTACATTAATGTATGTGAAGTATTAAAAAATTGCCTGGCACATAGTATACACTCAACACATGATGGAATCATATTGTATATATTGTTCTGTAACTTGCATTCCACTAGTACAGATGAAGGAAATATAGTGTACAGATGAAGAGCATGGGTTTTAAATCTAATTGCCTGATGCAAATCCTAGTTTCATCATTTACTAGAATTATGAACTTCAACATGTATATAACATTTCTTTATTTCCTTTGTAAAGTGAAAATAATAGCCTATGTTTTTTTTTTAAGTTTTTATTTGAATTCCAGTTAGTTAATATACAGTGTAATAGTAGTTTCAGGTGTATAATGTACTGATTAACACTACCATGCAACATCTGGTGCTCATGACAACAACAAGTGCACTCCTTAATACCCATCACCTACTTAACACATTCCCCCACCCCAACCTCTATTCTGATAACCACCAGTTTGTACTCTATAGTTAAGAGCTAGTCTTTGGTTTGCCTCTTTTTTTTTTTTTGTACCTTTGCTTTTTTTTTTTTTTCATAAATTCCACATATGTATGAAATCATATGGTATTTGTCTTTCTCTGATTTATTTCACTTAGCACAGTACTCTCTAGCTTCATCCATGTTGTTCCAAAACGCAAGATTTAATTCTTTTTTATGGCTCAGTAACATTCCATTATGTCTGCATATACACATACATATACATATAGATAACACGTCTTTTTAAAAACTATTTTACTTATTTTTTAAAAGATTCTATTCAGTTATTTGACACACACAGAGAGAGATATCACAAGTAGGCAGAGAGGCAGGCAAAGAGAGAGTGGGGAGCCGGCTCCCTGCTGAGCAGAGAGCCCAATGAGGGGCTTGATCCCAGAACCCTAAGATCATGAATGACCTGTGCTGAAGGCAGAGGCTTAACCCACTGGACCAGCCAGGTGCCCCTAAAAAAGAGTTTATTTATTCATTTGTCAGAGAAAGAGAGAGAGAGAGGGCACAAGCAGAGGGAACAGCAGGCAGAGGGAGAAGCAGGCTGCCCTCTGAGCAAGGCCCCTGATGTGGTACTCAACCCCAGGACACTGGAGAGCATTACCTAAGTTGAAGGCAGATGCTTAACTGACTGAGCCACCTAAGTGTCCCTAGATATCACATCTTCTTTAAACACTCATCAATACACGGAGACTAGGGCTGTTTCCATGATTTGGAAAGCAGTAAATACTGCTACTATAAACACCAGGGTGTACATATCCCACTGAAATACTATTTTTGTATTCTTTGGGTAAGTATATAGCAGTATAATTGCTAGATAGTAGGGTAGTTAAGAAGAATTAATACCTATTTTTCTCAAATTATTCTGAGAAATAGAAAAGGAAAAGAAACTTCAAAATTCATTCTATGAGGCACCCAAAACAAAATAAAGACAGCACTAAAAAAAAGACAACTAAAGACTAATATCTCTGAGAAACACAAAGGCAAAAAACCTCAATAAAATACTAGCAAAACGAATCCAATCAGACATTTAAAAAATTGTTCACCAAGACCAAGTGGGATTTATTCCTGGGTTGCAAGGGTGATTCAGAATTCACAAACCAATTGATGTGATACATTACATTAATAAAAGAAAGTATAAGAACCGTATGATCATTTTAATAGATGCAAAAAAAAACATTTGACAAAGTACAAAATCCATTCATGATAAAAACCCTCAACAAAGTAGGTTTAGAACAAATATGACTCAACATCATAAAGGCCATATACGAAAAACCCACAGCAAACATCATTCTCAATGGGAAAAACTGAGAGCTTTTCATTTATGGTCAGGAAAAAAACCGGGATATCCACTCTTACTGTTGTTATTTAACATATTACTGAAAGCCCTAGCTTCATCAGTCAGCCAACAAAAAGAAATAAAATACATATAAATCAACAAAGAAGGATTTAAACTTTCACTATCTGCAGATGACATGATACTATATATAGAAAACATGAAAGATTCCACCAAAAAACTGCTATAACTAATACATGAATTCAGTAAAGTCACAGGATATAAAATCAACATACAGAAATCCGTTGTATTTCTTTATACCAATAATGAAGCAGCAGAAAGAGAATCTGGGAATCAACCCCATTTATAATTGCACCAAAACCCATAAATTACCTGAGAACAATCCTAATCAAAGAGGTAAGAGACCTCTACTCTAAAAACTATAAAACATTAGTGAAAGAAATTGAAGATGGCATGAAGAAATGGAAAGACAGTCCAAGCCCATGGCTTGAAAGAACAAATATTGTTAAAATGTCTACACTACCCAAAGCAACCTCACATTTAATGCATTCTCTTTCAAAATACCACCATCATTTTTCACAGAGCTAGAACAAACAATCTTAAAATTTGTATGGGACCATACAAGATCCCAAATGACCAAAGCAATGTTGAAAAAGAAAAGCAAAGCTGGAGGCATCACAATTCTGGATTTCAAGTTATATTACAAAGTGACCAAAACAGGATAGCACTGCCACAAAAATAGACACACAGATTAAAGGAACACAGTAGAAAACCCAGAAACAAACCTACATCTATATGGTCAATTAATCTTCAGCAAAGCAGGAAAACAATATGCAATGGGCAAAGAATAGTATTCTATAAATCGTGTTGGGAAAACTGGACAGCTACATGCAAAAGAATGGAACTGGACGACTTCCTTACACCATACACAAAATGAATTTCAAAGTGGATAAAAGACATAAATATGAGACCTAAAACATAAAAATCCTAGAAAAGAATATAGGCAGTAATCACTTTGACATTGGCTGTAGCAACTTCTTTCTAGATATGTATCCTGAGATGAGGGGAACAAATAC